TAGCGAAATAAACTTAAAATGGAACGATAGAGGAGAATCCAGAAGATTATGATTTGAGAGAAGCCGATGAATGGATGCACCTGTGTCATTGTAAACAGTTTTCAGCCATGTTATTCAAGGTGTCCAACCATCGGTTACTATCATCTCGTGGACCCCAACCAGGTAGTCTTCATCTACCCAACATGACTCAGTCCACTTGTCAGTGATTTCATGGATTTGTGCCATATTTTGGTTTGACCGCCCTTAGTTTTCTTTCAACTTACTCCTACACTACAAAACTTAGCTGGACGAGAACGTATTCAATTGAATTCAATTATCTCTGTAGACTATTCAGCATCTATCTATCTGACCTATAATAAATTCTTCGAAAATTGTTTTTAGTATCGTTTAATTCAAAACGTTTGATAAAATTACAATTTAATATTGAACGATATTTTCAAGTAAAAATTTCTTAATCAAATTATCATAAAGGTAACAGATTGATTTTAATAATTTTTAACAGAAGTAGTTAAAACTAGCAATGAGAAATTCATACTGTCTTACTACTTCTGTCTTACCTAAAACATGTGAGTCAACTTATAAGCTACCTATTCTCGATTTATTCCAAAATATCACATAGAATAGTTCTGAATGGTGTTTTACTACAAATCAAACATAAGCGTAGACGAATATTAGTTAAGTCAATCAAGTTGATTACGCGCCATAAAAAGTATTAGATTTCTGAGGAGGTTGGAATATTTTCTTGGTAACCAGACCGGAGTCGGTGGCTTTCTCGGGAGGCTACCTCTTAGACCTTAAAGTCTAGTCCACAGGGCGTTGGAATAATGTAAGGAGAGACAGTCCCGTGGTTAGAGTGGTGATCAGCATTAGATTGAAACGACACTGATTCCATTTTTACCCTGGATCTCATGTATACCACTTGTTAGCACTGAAGGGTATTTCAACTACCCTAGATGGATCCTATGTCCCCAGAACCCTGGTCACACAGTCGTTTTCCATCCTCTCAATTTTGCAAACAACATCACTGTTAACAGAAGGCAGTGAGTAGGACTTCCCTAACTGTAGCTGTACACACATGGTCGTTTGAGAGCATTCGGAGACAGAGAGAGACAGAGCTAACTCATTTCACTCTTCGCCGTACCACAGCATTTGAGCGTGTCATACAAATAGATTTATTCTACACTAAAGCACAAATCAAACATACCTCTGAATAAAGATGAGTTTTTAAACATTTTCCTAACATTTTGATCAATAGTCAAATTTAGAGATTTTCAACTGAATATTATTATTGAACATTGAAAAAACTTTTTTTTATCGATAAATCAACAAATTACGAATTTAAATAATTCACGGAGTTAGTTATATGGTTTAACAATTTTTTTTCTGCCTAACATCTTCCCAATTCTTTTAATCTAAGTATGAATAAGATTTTTTTTTCTATGGTAGACTAACTATTTGGCATTCTCTATTGTTCAATACTACTTCAACGAACCGTGAACAAGTTAAAACGTTAAAAATCATTCTAGGATATTGAAGCACCGTTGGATAAAAATCAATAAAAAACCGGATTAATACAAACAGCTTAGAGTACAAATCAATATGTATGAAAAAAATAAAAACATTTGAATTTAACAAGAATTTCTTGTTAAGCTCAATGTTACATAGTTGATAGATTATTTACGTAGTACTGACAAACTGTAATATGCCATCATTGTTGAGTGCATTTTAACTTATTTTTTACAGAATAAGAATCAATTAAGTTTATTTATGTCACTCAGTTAATCAATCAATCAATCAACAACAACGTACGTAAGTACATCAGTTCAAGTTGCCACATCACAAATTAACACAGAGATACAATTGTCCATTCAAATCCTATAGTAGTAGAGGTAGTAGATGTAGTAGTAGTGTGGTGCGAGCTACTTATAAGTAGTATATGATGTGAGTGTCAACGTAATGTCTGGCAGCAGAAGATGGGGGAATATCAAGAAAGGAAGAGTTAGAACACAATGGAATTTGTATGAAACGCATGAATAGTGACAATGGATTGATGTTTAGCAACAGGAACAGTCCAGTTCGATATAATGAACTGATATTTTGCAAATGAACGATTTACGATATGGTTTTCCAATTTTACTGAGTAATACTGTAATTTCCGTTAATTACAGTTTGGTTGCCCTATCTGTGTTTTCGTTCATTACAGTAGTAGTAATCGGAAATTTTATGGTTAGACGATACAATTCGAGAAGTATAATTCAATGACATAACTTTAGAAAGAGAAAGATAGATATGATGAGGAATTCTGAACGTTGGAATTTGAGAGAACACAAATAATGAATGCACCTGCGCCACTGCAAAAGGTTTCGAGCCATATCATTCAAGGTCTCTAACCATCGGTTACTATCATCTCGCGGGCTCAAGCCAAGTAGTCTACATCTACCAACATGACTCACTCCAGTTGTCAGTGACTTCATGGATTGCTGACATGTTTTGATTTGGCTGCCCTTAGCTTTTTTTCAACCTACTTCTACATTGCATAATATTAGCTCGACGAGGCAATTGGTGATTAAGCATGCCTAACACATGTCCTAACCACCTAAAATGACGCAGTTTTGATACTTCATCTACTGACCTGACATTCTTGCCTGCACATCTCACACATGAATCAGTTAGAAAATTTATTTCAGCTTCAAAAGAGTATAATTACTAGTTCTAATAAGATGTGAATTTAACTAATCTTAGCAGAAATTAATCAGTGAAACAGTTTTGTGAAGAATATAAAATATAGAACTTGCCTTTGTTGGATCACCACTGACAATCTAAGAACATAGGACAACTATTTCATCCTGGAGTGAGACTAATTAGCAGTGCGCAATCACGTGTCAGCAGTTTATTCCACTTCACGTGTGGATGCTTAACCTTTCAGTCAGAGAGTCGGTAGCTAATGGTAGTCAAGTCTAATCGGTTCATAATATTAAGCAACTGATTATTGTCTACAGTGAACACCGTCCACATACTCGATACGAGTGAAATCCGCTGGTCATGGCCTCCTAATGGAATTTCACACACGGCATTCAGAATCTAGTCACTAGTTTGCATCTGGTAATCATTTCACGCTTTAGGTTGGAGTTTTTTTTCACCAGTAAAGTCTCCAGTATTAATTTAGGGAACATTTACAATCTAATGAAAATAGTTTCTGATAAATATTCTCATTTATATCCAGATGTAATGCACGAGCTTGATGATCAGTGTTCAACTAATCATCATTCAAAATTAGTTGACCATCAGTAATATATTGACTAATTTTGAGTTGAACAAATCAGGTCATATGTTAGAATTTCTGAGTTCCTACTGTTTCAACCATTCTTAATTGGTAAATTCATCGCAGATCAATAGACTAGAGCCTATTTGATAACGTATTGTAGAGTTTATAAACTTTTATTAAAAAAAAACTCCTCCTGGTGCCCTTCTAGGGTTATTGCCTATCCTAAGCCTGGACAGAAGAGCCAGGGTTGAGCATGGATTCAGCGACTGCATCCCGTAAAAATTCAACTCACTGAAAAACAAACTCTAAACATAAGAAATAATTCGCTGTTCGGTGGGTTATGTTCCTTCATGCTAAAATTAAAAACTCCGCTTAGAGCTCTTCTAGGGTTACTGTCGTTCCCAAGCCAGGATAAAGGAGCAGGGTTGAGTATGCGGTTAGCGACCTAATTTCATAGACATCTAACTTGCTAAAAGAACGCTTAAATACAAAAATAATTCCCTGATCGGTGGGCTATGTTTCTTTAGCAGTAACAGGCATAGGTAAGGTAAGGAAAATTTTTAGAAAATGTATAAAATAGTCAGACTAATTTTCCGTCAAAGCAAACCTTAATACATCAAAATAACGTATTCTGTTTTCAGTAAACTGTAATTTAAAACTTCTCATTCATGTTTAGTATTGCAATCAATCAGTGTTTTACGGCATATTTTAATCTTGTGACAGAATCGCCTCGATATAACACTTAGGTTACAAGTATTATTATCAAGGATGAATGGTGGTTGGCAATCGAATAGAGGATGTCTGTTCGGACAGGACAGTTCAATCTGCCTGCTACAACTCAGAGTTGATATTCACTCCCGGAATCGAACCCTGTATCTTTCAGAAATATCGAAGAACACCTTCATAGAGGATACAAATATGTTAAATGAGACTGATCAATCACAATTTTAAATATCATTGCGAAGAGGCAAACAATCAGTGCCAACGAATGAATATTTGACATAGATCAGCATTAAACTAGCGAGGTCGAAATGTTTCTATTTTTCAAAGTTTCATTTTTATTTAATGTTCAACTAAAAAAAATTCCTTTTATTTTAATGCGATATGCATTTTGATAAACAATTTATTGAAAAGAAACTTTTTTTTTAAAAAAAAAATATTTTCGAAATAAAATTTAAAATTGTTCATTAGTCAATTTTTAAAAATATTTTATTCCCGCCAAAAAAAAGCATTTACTGTTTTCAATCGGATTCATTAAAGAGTTTTAAAATTTACTCAACTTAACAGATACATAAAGAATTAATTTTCAAATAGTTTTGCAATTAAACATAAATTCTAATCGAGTCGAAACTGATTTTTGAACATATAATTCCGTCTACCTAACTCATATACAGTAAACACTTTAGTCAGTGGTGTACTATCCTTGTCAGATGTAGGCAGTTGCCTAACGAAGACAATGTGCGTGGTTGTTCAACACTTTAGATTGATAAACGATAGACTTTATCAGGGATTGATATCAAGCTGGTAGTCTGAAAGTGGGTCGTTCACACTTGAGATCGAGGCCTCCGCGTTCGATTCCTGCAAATGTGACTCCTGGGACAAATGAACCGTTTACTGCTTTCAGGCAATCATAGATTTTATGATTTCACTAAAAATTCAACAATTCCCCTTTACTCTATCATGAAAACTCCATATATATGTATGTATATATTTACCACAAAAGTATTTCACTTACTTTCGATGGAGTTAGTGCTTTGTTCACACTGAATTTATGTTGTTGATGTTGTTGCGGATGTTGTTGTTGAAGTGTCCTGACAACATTCAAATCATCATTCGGTGATTTTCGATCTACTGTTATGGTATTTCTAGTTTCAGTCATTTTTGAATATAAATCTATACAACTTGGAATAACATTTTGATGATAAGAAATCAATGGGATTGGTGCAATAGTTGTAGAATAAGACTTTGATTCACGTCGTGTCAGTTTATTCATATTACCACTACTACTATTAATTGTATTGGTAGTATTGGCAGTAATATTATCAAAATATTTTGGTGAACGATTTATTTTTTTCTGATTTATCAGTAGATCATCAATACGTGGTTCTTTTGGTGAACTGCCCATAAATTCTGGACTAAGTGACGAGGATAATAATTGTGAATCCATAGTTTGTTCAGCTGACAATGGATCTAACGGAGAAGAATAACACAAATATTCCACAGATTGATTGACACTATTATTTTCAGTATTATACGGTGTATGACTAAGTGTATTTTGTAAAGGTTGATAATAATGATCACTGTCCAACTGTTTATTTGATTGATTAACAAAACTATGTGAATGTACAGGATGTTGTAAACTAGTCCTTGATTGTGGATGACGATAGTTTACCGATGATCTGGCAACCATTCGTGGTCGAACTGATTGTGTTCGATGTGGTTGGAATGAATCATGATAAATAGGGTTATTTTTTTGATTAATACTACTAGTATTATTATTATTAGTAATATTACTGTTAGAATCAAGATAGAAATTTTCTTCCACTGGTAATGAAATAGTATGTTCTAATAACACTGATTTATTTCTCCTACAATCGGTTCCATGCTTGTCTGTTAAACCTAAAACATGATCACTGATAGATGAGGGAATAGTATTTCTTTCCATGCAATAAGGTTGGCTGTCAATAGAATCAGACTTATTGATCCGTGTGAATTGGCTGAATATGTTTGGTTAACAGTTTTTTTTTACCCCAATAAAGGACTGTCCGTTTTCAATGTTTTGCTTATAACTTGTAGTTGTTGGTGTTCATGGTTTTACTGTGCGTATCTATCCCACTATCTATCTATCTAGCTATCTATCTATCTATCTGACGATATTTATAGATATATCTGTGCACAATAACGGGTAATAATGATGTGTTTTCCTAATTTCATGTCTCTAACCCTACTTGTCTGACAAAGTTTGCACATTTTCTGAGAAGTTATATTTATGTAACTGAGAAAATTTACTTTTTTCCCCTTGTGTGTGTGTGTGTCTGTATATATCTATCTATCATGGTGTGTCAAACACAACTACTATCCTCTTCTGGCACATTTTCAATCAACCAATCAGAATGCAGTGTCATAATTGGCCAATTAAATTCAACCTTGAGAAATACATACAAGGTCATATTGAATGTTTCAATAATGATTGAATTATTCGCGAACAATTTAAATTGTCCGCGATAGTTATATACATAGACACACACACACACACATATTGACATATACACACCCTAGAAATAGCTAAATTTAGCACAATACTGATAATAATAATAATAATAATAATAATATTTCAATTCTCGGTTTTATTTTTAGTGAAATCACGCACAAAATGTACATGCATCTTGGGTTTTGGGTGTAAAAAAAAATCAAACAAAATATACACGCAAAAGTATGACAGTAGTTTATGTGTATTTCACAAACTTTTCAACATTTACTAAGATGGATAAATGATTATTATTTTAAAAGGATATTTGTTTTTTTTCTTCGGTTTAAAATCGAAATCGCGGTCGGTTTTTTGTTTTAAAAAATTTTTTTTTCTGAAAATTTCATTATTGACAATTGATTTATTCATGTAAATTTTTAAGGTTTATTATCGACTACATTTGAAATGATGTAATTTAGTTATAGGGAAATGGGAATGTAAGACAAGTTGGTTGATTTCTGGAGTAATTTGGTATTGTGTCTATTATGTTGGGGATGTTAGGTCCGCAAAACTCGCTTGATAAATAATGCCTTATTTTGAATTTCATGTTTGCGAGCATGGCCTGATCAGTTGAGCTTCAGATTTCATTTTCCACCAGGAAAATCCATGGCTTTGATTGGCTGCTGAGTATTTTAGTGTGTTATTTTCGTAACTGTCTCAAGGACATTTCTCAGATGTATAAATAAACGAGAGTTGTATGCTTGATTGTATTGCGTGATTGCTGAGTGTTTGTAGAATATACTTTATACGCTTACAAAGCCTTTTGTCTTCAGCTTGAGATTCAAGGTAGCCTATCTGGACGCTGGTTGATTGTCTCGTTCACGTTTATCGTCCAAGGTGAATTCGTAATAGCTTCAAGCGTACCTAATGACGAACATATTATTCTCAGTTCTGAACAAAAGTTTTACATATTGTGTTTTGTAGTTAGGGGATGCATCTTAGAATTTATTTTCGTTGTAATCATAAACTGATCAATGTTAGATCACCCTTTGAATTCCGAAAGGACTGGATGAACGTTTTGTACTAATATGCGACTCTTAAGCAGTGCGTATTCACAGCACCACATAAAGGAATCGAATCTAGGATACGCAGTCTCGCGGGCGGACATTTGCCATCTAGACCACCGATTTGGCATTCATAGATGTTAATTTCTTAACTCTGATCAACCCATTGTCTGTTGTGGTCACTGCTTCACACCTGAAACCGTCGAAGTCCACTGGCCACGGTTTCTTATTCGGCAATCTATTCCAAGCTGTTCTAAAGAAATATAATCAAAATTTTACCTGTGAAACTTTGCGTTTAATTAAAGTTCAGTTGTCCAAACTTACAAATATGATTTTTACTTGCAATTCTATTTATACAATTTTAAGATCGGATCAAATATAAAGTTGAGTAGTTAATTAGTAAAAGGCATTCAATATTCAAGGATTATTGAATATTGATAACTCCACCTAAGGAATGTTTAAAATTACTGCCATTCTCATGTACGGATAAGGGAGGAACTTTCAGCATGCAGTTACCAACCTCTTGCCATAGAAAACAAATATCATGAAAAGGTCGTATACAAAGGGACATTTTCGAAGTTTCCTTGAAATTAGAATGTACCTTAGGCGATAGTCATAAGGAATTCTTATGATGGACTAAACTGCAAAATCGTGCATGGATGGTAGACCACAAATGTATTACAAGTAAAGACCGGTTTCAGACTAGTTTGCCCGGCCTTACTGTTACTCTTTCTGCCAGTGGTTGACTGGATTATGTAGACGTCAATATTTCATGGGGAAGCATAGGATACGACGGATAGATAAGATGTATCTGGACGATCTAGAATCCGTAGAGCATCCAGTCCTTGTATTCCAAACATTACAACAAATGCAGATAAAGTCAGTCAGTGTCACAGTAGCCTCAGCAACAGTAGGTCTTAACATACACAAGGGGAAAAAGCAAGATTCTTCAATACAACACAACATGCACCAACCAAATAACACTTGACATAGAGGCTTTAGAAAATGTAGAAACTTTTGTAATGGAATTTCGTTCTCTGAGCTGAACAACATCATCAGCACAAACTTCAGATAGAAAGCTTTACATATCTGGGTAGCATCATTGATGACGAAGATTCATCTGATGCCGGTGTAAATGGGCGGATTGACAAAGCAAGGGCAACTTTTGTACATTTGAAAAAAAATATTTGAAACTCAAAACAGCTATCAACTAAAACCAATGTCAGAATTATCAATAAAAACGTGAAAACACTTTATTTTGAGAGAGAAAAAACCTCAATTCATAATTTATTTTCTGATGTTTCTCAAGCAAATGTAGTTGTATAAATCTGTTTATATTACACAATAATTGTCTGTGCTTATAATATTTATGACTTGACGTTTATATTGAAGTTTACAGATGTTAAATGAGACTGGTCAATTGTAGTCCTAACTATCAATGGGAAGATTCTCACTACACATACTTAGGTAATATGAAAGCCATGTTATTAGAATTAATCCAAATGGCTAATTTACTTTCCTTTTGACAGTTAAACTAAAATTCTAATTCATGAGCAATCAATATTTCAGACTTTTATAAAAATTTTTCATTACAGAGCTGTACAGATTGTTGAGTTTCATTACAATCATGATTCCAGCAATGTTAAACCTGGAAGCACCGGACGGTCGTGCTCACTAATGACTAGCTTCATGAGTAAATTCTCGGAGTTTTTGTGAGAAACTGAGACTAGTGGAGTTCAACCCTGCTGCATATGAATTAATGTCAACGGAAGATGGTTGTTGAGATTGTGCGACAACTTGGATCGATTAAAGCTAGAAAATGACATCCTCAGTTGCCTAGAGGTTGTGACCGAAGGTTCTGATACGTGTCAACCGCTGGCAGAAAGGGTAACGGTTAAGGCGGGCAAACTAGTCTGAAACCGGTCTACCCACCATGCACGATTTTGAAGTTTAGTCCATCATAAGAACTCCATATGACATGGACTATCGACTCAGATACATTGTAATGTCAAAGAAAATTTGAAAATGTTCCTTTGTATACGACCTGCATGCTCAACCCTCTTCCTTTATCCGTGCATGAGAATGGCAGTAATTTTAGACATTCCTCAGGTGGAGTTATCAATATCCAATAATCATTGAATTTTGAATGCATTTTACTTTTTATTTCATCCGATCTTAAAACTGTATAAATAGAAGTGCAAATAAAATCATATTTGTTAGTCTGAGCAACTGAACTTTAATTAAATCCAAAGTTTCACTGGTCAATTGTTGATTATATTTCTTCAGAACAACTATTATCAGATGCTCACTAATGACCAATTTCTTGAGGAAATCCACCCACCTTGAATAAGAAGCTGTGGCCAGTGGAGATCGACAGTGTTGGGTGTGAAGCAGTGCCCATAGAAGACAATGGGTCGTTCGAAGTTAAGAAATTAACCTCTGTGAATGCCAACTCGGTGGTCTAGATCTTAAATGTCCGTCCGCGAGAGCGTATGTCCTGGATTCGATTTCTTCCTGTCGCGCACTGCTTACGAGTCGCATATTAGTACAAAACGCCTATCCAATTCTTCGAGAATTCAAAAGGTGATCTAACATTGATCAATTTATGATTACAACGAAAATGAACTCTAAGCTGTATCCACTAATTACAAGACACAATATGTAAAGGATTTCGAGGAAGTTTCATACTAGTTACATTTTATTCTATCAAACAAATGTTATCTGTATCTTACTGATAAATAGAAGATGATGTGTATGAGATATATTTCATGTATGTGTGCTTTCGGTTGATGTTATTTCATTTCCTTTATCATGTGATCTAATCCTTTTGAACAGTGAATCTTGAACACTTCAATGTTTACATATGTATATATATTTGAATATGACAGACAAGAAGTATCAAATGAACATTAAACGTAGATTCATTCAGCACAGAAAAGACTATTGCTAAAAATAAACACAATGGTTCACACTGTACTGTATGGGAATAATGAATATCGGGAGAGAGAGAGAGATAGTGTGTGTGTGTGTGGTAAACACTTTAGAAATGAAAAAATTATCACGTATATATTGATCAATATTCAATCTAGACAAAGATATGCGTTTTATGCGGTACGTATCACATATAGGCTTGACTATGTACTTGACTATGCACAATACTGTCTGATTTGAGATGATGATGATGATGATATCTGTTAACACATATATCAAGGGAGATAGTGACTGTTTACGAGCCGGTAACTTCATAATTAAAATTGGTATATTTGAATAATGAACCCACCGCGTTATATTCAAAACGAAGATTAGAAGAAAACTAGTAACTTGGAGAACAGGAATTATAGATAACTATTGTATATATGGTACTTACCTACTTACTTATTTACTTACTTACTTCCGCCTGTTACCCTTAGTGAA